GAGTCATCGTTCGTGTACTTTCGAGAGATCACGTGATCAAGATGAAAAGAAAGTAAAGTGTATGTGTGTATGTATGTATGTTATATATGTGAAAGAGAGAGAGAGAGAGAGAGAGAGAGAGAGAGAGAGAGAAAAGAAAAAGAGAAAAAGGGAGATAGATGGATATTGCGACTGTCAGGAAATATTTAAATCGACGAACTATGCTCGGCCGGCCATTTTTCTTCTTGTTCCATGCCACGCAAGAACGTCAAAAGGATCCTCTTGTTTACAAGCACTGGGGACATTTCTTCCGTGCTAAAACCGAGCTAGGAATGCATCTTTATCACATCCCCCTGGTCGTTGTGTGTCATCAACGTTGTCCCTTGCATTAGTTTGGATGTCATACATTCGTTCTAACATATATACATAACCAATCCAATAATCTTTTCTTTCTAAAATATTGATATATATATTTTTTATTTATTTATTTATTTATTTATTTATATATTTATTTTTTTTTTGTAATGGTAATTCAGATCGATTTTGTGTGTATAGATAGGTTACTTGAAAACAATGGTGTCTCTGTTTATTCATATGTTTGTTTATTCATATGTTTGTTTATTTATTTATTTTATTTATTTATTTTTTTTTACCTTTTATTATTTTGTTATTTTTTTATTTTTTTAATTCTTTTTTCTTTTTTTTTTTCACTTATTACATTTACGAATAAATTATCTCGATAAGTAGAAGGTAATATTTGAAACACTTTTATCTTATCATATTGTTTGTAAAATATAAATTTTTGTTGTATCTTCAAATGCTATATAATCGTAGAAGAAATTATCTTTAGTATTTTATTTTAATAACTTTACGAATATTATCATATCATTTGAACATTTTCAATAAAACATTAAATTTTACTGATTTTAATAGATTTCATTCATATATATGTATATATATATATATATGTATATATGTATGTATCTATGTATGTATGTATGTAAATACATATGTATGTATGTATGTATGTATGTATGTATGTATGTATGTATGTAAATACGTATGTATGTATGTATGTATGTATGTATGTATGTATATGCTTCTAATTTAAATAAATTTTTAAAAATATTTTTTCCATCTTTTATGTAACTGAAAATAATACTAGATATATTAACATATGTATGGTTTTTATATTTTTTACTTTTTCACATTTAAAAGATAAATTATGTCGAAATGAGATATCGCTTATATCATATCATACACGTAGAGTTTTTAAATGTTAAAAAATCTTCAAATACTCTGATAACAGACAATATATTCTGGATGATAAATTGTTTGAACAATGAAAATAATATCCTTTTTATTATCAGTGAATTATAAAAGGAAAAAAAAAAAATCGTTTAACATAGTCTATTTTTATCGTGAAACATTTACAAATATATACATATGTATATATATGTATATATATATATATATATATATATATATATATATATATATATATAAATTTTTTAAAGAAGATATTAAATGATTTTGGTCGATCTTATATGTAGGTTATAGTTGGAAATGATAATATCTACAATTCAATTTTATTTCATATTTGAAAATAAATAATCTTTATATATAGATACTTTTTAATACCTTACAAAATATTTATATCGTATATATTAGTTATGCTCGTAAATGTCTTGCGATTTCAACAAATATATTTTGCTCGTTGATAATTTGTTTTAAGAAACTGCCATAGCTATGTTCGACGTATTTGAAGAGCAGAATTCTCAGTAAAGATCATAAAATTCTTCTTTATGCGAATCATACATCTGTCCTAGTATGCCAGAGTTAGTGAGAAATAGAAATAAAGAGTATACGCACATGTGTGTGTGTGTGTGTGTGTGTGTGTGTGTGTGTGTGTGTGTGTGTGTGTGTGGGTGGTCGGGTGGATGCGTGTGAAGAAGAGATATCGATGCTTCCACTATTAACAACTAAGTCGGAATACACAATTGGTTTCTCTTAGATAAATTTCTTCATGTTATAGTTGAAATTAATTTTTTCTAATGGTAAAAAATTCTCTCGTATGTAAAAACTTATCTCGATAGAATTTATGTTAAAAAATTTACGATCAGAATTTGATAAAATATTATCCGAAAATTATGGTCTCGAAAAAAATTGAATCCTCTCATTTTTCTTCGTGGAAGGAGGCTGCTTTTATTTTATTTTATTTTATTTTATTTTATTTTTTTTTTTTTTTTTCATTTTTTCATTTTCGTTTTGTATTTTTTTTTTTAATTTTCTTTTTTATCTAGATAATTAAAAAACAGACTTTGGTTGCGCGATAATACGATTTATATTTAAAACGCACAGCTCTGGATATATTTTAAATAGCAAAAGAAATTCTTGGAAAATCGAGCAACGTGATATCGCTAAGTTTCGAAATTTTGCGTTTGTTTCGTTTGCAATAATATATTTTTTTCTTTCTTTCTTTCTTTCTTTTCTTTTCTTTTCTTAATCATATACTTTATTTATCCAACATCGTATTCGTACTTATCTATATACAGGGTGTCCCATGGAACTGGACAGAGTTATATTTTTGAAACGATTGAAAATCGAGACAAATGTAATGCGACAAAATTAAATGTTATTAAATACTACATAATTCTGTGAAACTTTCATGCATTTTCTTTTTTTTTTTTTTGTGCATCGAGATGCAATTGCAAAGTTTTTCCAAACTTTCCAAATCATGTTAATAATGTTATGTTCTGAAAATTGTTTATTTTAGTGTTATATTAATTTCAAACATATTGAATTATTTCAATGTTTCAATACATTTAAAACATAGTCTTTCATAGATATCCGTTCTTTTTCTCATTTTTCTCTTCAAGCGACTTTTCCCACGCGACAAAGTAATTTTATGGCTTTCTTTTTCTTTTTTTTTTCTTTATTTTTTGTCCATAATAATTTGCACGTTTTTGGTTGCATCGATAAAAAAAATTAAAAGAAAATAAATAAAATAAAAAAAATGAAAAAAAAAATGAAAAAAAAAAAAAAAAGAAAAAGTAATATGATGATTATGAAATATCATTCTTTATTATGTATATGGTTACTATAGTTTGACATTTGTGATGATTTTATTGATTGATTTTTCACAAGAGAAAACATTAAAACAAAAAGAAAAAGTTATGTAAAATCGTAATAACCGAAGTAAATAAATGAATTTTTTTCATTCGTAAGGTTATATCTCCCTTGGTCCCTTAAGAGCTTAAAATTCAAAATAGTACCTAGTGTTTTTCCTCTCTCTCCTCCTCTATCTTCCTCCCTCCCTTCTTCGCCTCTCCTCCCCCCTCTCTCTCTCCCTCACGTATTCGTTTAAATGTATTGAAACATTGAAACAATTCAGCAGGATTGAAATTAAAATAATACCTAAACTAAAAAATTTTTCAGGACATAACATTATTAATATATTTTGTGGTGAGTTCAAAAAGTTGCATCAATTAATGTATTAAAAATGTAGAGTTTCAAATAATAATAGAAAAAAATCACTTTGCGAATGCATCGATACAAAAAAAAAAAAAAAAAAAAAAAAAAAAAAAAAAAGAAACAAAAAAGTATGAAACGTTTCACAGAATTATCTAACCATATTATTAAATTTAATATCATTTAATTATGTTGCATGACATTTTTCTCGATCTCCAATCCTTTCAAATATATACATAGCTCGGCCCAGTTTCGTGGGGGGTCACCCTATATATATATATAATATCGTTAAAATCGTTTACTTAGTTCTTGAACGATTCCTGTCGATTATACGAATGAACGAATGAACGAAAAAAGGAACGACGAATCCTATCATCAGGATTATCCTATCCTTCGATCCTTTCGGTGTTTTTATCGAATAAATGGAAGAAAGGCCATTGCGAATGGAAATTTCTCCCCCCCCCCCTGCCGTTCCTACCGACTCTCTTCCTCCCTGTCACACCCTTTTACCTACGTTCCATAAAAATGTTCGCGAGAACATAATGAACACGTGTCTTTGAATATTTGTGAATGATAACGCTTAAACGTAATGTTTAAAATATTCCATCGTTTTTTTTTTCTTTTTTTTTCTTTTTTTTTTTTTTTTTTTTTTTTTTTTTTTTCACGTTTTCGTGATCTTCGCCGTGATCCTCCTTTATCCTCCTACATATTTTAAAGATGATAATCTACCTTGAAGAGATATTTTGTTGTAAGATCGTTCGCGCGTATGTTTTGTTGTTGAAGAACAAAAAAAATATTATTTGTTGAACAATAAAAAAATTATTGCAACAAAACACGTATCTTATTCATTTTTTTTTTTCTTTTATTTTTTTTTTTTTTAATAATTTATTTCAATGTAAGATAGCGCGTACGTTTTGTTAAAAAACAAAAACAAAAAAATTATGCCAACAAGACGTATTTTCTTTTCTATACGCACTTTTTCTTTTCTTTTCTTTTTTCTTTTTTTTTTTTTTTTTTTTTTTTTTTCAAATTTATTTCGACGTAAGATTGCGCGTGTTTTGTCAAAAAAAAAAAAAAAAAAAAAAAAAAAAAATATTGCTACAAGATACGTATTTTTTTATTCATATATACCTTACTTTCTTTTTTTTTTTTTTTTTTTTTTTTTTTGTTTGTTTTTGTTTAGATCACAGTTGCTCAACGCTTTCTTTCTAACTTTTCCGATCATAAAATTTTCTCGTCTTCTTTTTTTTTTTTTTTTTTTTTTCTTTCTTTTTTTTTTTTTCCTTTCATTTCATTTCATTTTTATATACGTACTGTACGTAAAGTGTTTATTTATATTTAAGATTTCTTCTAATCGCACATTAATTCTTCTATTTAAATATAAAAGAAAAAGTTTGAAAAACAAAACAAAAAAAAAAAAAAAAAGAAAAAAAGAAAAGAAATGTTGCGAACGATTGTGTAATACGATCGTAAAAGATTACGTTTTTATTTGTCAACGTAGAGAGAGTTGTCGCAGTTTCGAATTGACCTTAAACTCAACTGTTTTCTAGGAAAACAGGACGCGCTGATAAAGTATTTCCGAGTTATGTGTCTCGGAAAATCTGACGATTTCTGTTGATTATCGCAAATTTGAAAGTTTCACAAAAATCCCGTGATGGCCTTCTCTTCGTATACCGGTTCGGATCAATACTTTCGTCAACCACTTGACAAAAGAAAAGCCCGTGGAGAAAGGAATGCCTTCTCGGTAATGTAATCAACAACATTAACATTAATATATGAATTATCACACCGACAACAATATTCGAAAATATACCAATTGAAAGTGTATTATATATATTACATATATATATATATATATATATATATATATACATATGTATATGTAGATATTATTATATATATTATATACAAACAATATATAATATATAATATTATAATATATACACACACTCACACATTATTATATAATATCTATTATATTTATACACATATTATTATATATTAATAAATTATATATTATATATTATATATTATATATTAATAAATTATAATATTATAATTTATTTATTATATATATTAAATATTATATGTATATATATATATATATATTATACACAAAAAATATATGATATATAATATACATTTATATAATATGTATATACATTATTATATAATATGTATTGTATAATATACACATATTATTATATATATATATTAAATATAATTGTAACATTATGATTTTTTTATTATATATATATATATATTTTTTTTTTAAATATATATATATAAATATATTCTTTTTTTATATTATAATATATTATAAGCGTATTTATGTGCAGATTCGAACGGAACGTTTCGAAGTTCAAATTAAATATTTGGCTAAATAGATTTTAATACGCTTGAAAGAAAATAATTACACGTCCGATATACTATGTTAGATTTTTTTTTTTTTTTATTCTAATTGTTTTGTATTCACTCTGTGTTACAGAATCACGAGTACGGTGGATACGGAGACGAGCCACGGCGAAAGAGGTACAATCTTCTTTTTTTATATCCACTTTTATATGCATTTTTATATTCATTTTTATATATCATAATATCACACTCAGGAGGATGATTCAAAAATTTTCTCATTCATCATTCTCGATTTAATGTATGTAATTATCCCTTTTCTTTTTTTATTATTTTTTTTTTCTACTTTTGGAACTTTTTTCCTCTCTTTTTTTCTTTTTTTTTTTTTTTTTTTTTCATAATTATAAAATATTACATTGTGTAGTTATATTTGCAAGTTTTACATTATAAAATTAAAATTAAAAGAAACAGAAAAAAAAAGAAAATAATAAATAAACAAAAAAATAAAAAGAAAAAACCTAATAACATATAACTACACTATATAAAGAATGAGCATATATATTTTAAACATTTGTTAAAACATTTAGACAAAATTCATTCTAAAATAAAGTTTTAATTATTCGTATTAGGATATATGCGTTTCGTCGTTTTTTTAATAAATGTATATATACATATATATATATATATATATATATATATATATATATATTTTTTTTTTTTTTCGAACTTTTCGATAGAAATAAAGAGGATAGTTAAATATATTTCTTCGATCGAGGTCACATATTTACTCGATTTCTCTATTGTTATATAAATATACTGTTTATGTACGATAAAAAATCGATCGCGCTTGTGCGTTTTGTAAAATGTGTGACCTTAATATCAAAAATTCGATTATCGCGAGAAATCTTTATTCGTTGATTAATTCTGGTTATACACGAGCAAATATTCTTTCTTATTCTCTCTCTCTTTCTCTCTTTCGCTCCACTCACCCTCTCCTCTGTTGTCAGAATCGATTGGTAAAATTCGTTGTCGACGTTATACGTCACTTTAATTATGTCATCGTTCTATCGTATGTCGTTATCGCACTGATTATCAGTCGCTCGGTAAATTGTCTCGTTAACGGAGTATTGTTTTTACGAATCGATTCGCATGCTTTCAACATGTTTTTGGTATATACCTTCGAAATATGATAACGTGTACATATGTACGTAGATGCATACGTACAAGCATAGATACATACATATCGTCATACATAGATACATACATACATATCTACGTACATAGATGCATACGTACATATCTACATACATAGATGGATAGATATATCGATACATACATACTTATGTAGTGTACATATGTAAGTACATAGGTGTTTGTGTGTGCAAATATATATATATATATATATATATATAGTTACATATTGTTTGGGATGCACAAATTAACGAATCAAAGCTTACTCTTTTAATCTTTTCCAATTTATTCGCGATGGAATGTTGTAAATATTTTTCGTTGTGTTCTAAGATACTTTGAAAAGTTAATTTAAATTGATTATGAAATATTTTTTTATTTCGCATTCATTCGTGACCGATTAAAAATATTTAATTGCATGTACCGAAAAAATTTTTTCATTGTTACTCTTTTTAAAAAAATTATATGATTAAAGCTTATAATATAAAGTATTATTCTTAACAAATTTGATGTATTATAGTTAATAAATATAACTTATATTTATTTTATATTAATAATATATCAGTATAATAAGTATATTTGTATTATGACTAATTATACTTAATAAGTATAAGTTATATTGATATAATTGTATCAGTATATCATTATTAATATGACTATTAATATAGTTATATTCGTTTATACTTATTAGTATAGTATTTTTATATTAATATTTTATAATTATATTGCTATATTTATATTCTAAATTAGTATTCTATATTAGTAGTATATAACTTAGAATATTATAATTTTTTTTTTCTTATATTTATATTACTATTGGCAAAATATATTAATATCTTATAATCTTTAATAAGTATAAGTTATACTTTTCGAATCGATTCTCCATTATATAATTTTTTTTTTTTTTTTTTTTTTATCCGAGAAACATTTATTATTATATATAATAAATAATAATAATATAATTGCAATATATTAAAGTATAAAGTTCATCTTAGAATACGAATTAGTTTAATGTTATATGGAGAAAAAATGAAATAAAATATCATAAAAATTTCATGATTAAAAAAAAACAAAAACAGAAACAAAAACAAAAAAAAAAGAAACGAGTATGTGACTTCGAAGTTATATGGATTTACGAAGGGTCCGAGTATAGATTTGATATATTAATTAAAATGTTGAATTGAATTCAAGAAGACCAAAACAAAAAGAATTTATAAAATTATAATATATATATATATATGAAAGAAAAATTATGAACAAGTTCATCCCTTGAAATTACATTTTTTTTTTGTTTTATAAAAGTTATTATAAAAAAAAAAGATCATGACAATACATTTTCCTCTTTTATTTCAAGTCGCTTCCCGACGCAACGACGATTACATTTAAAGTCTAATTTGTTGTTTAAATTAATGAAATATTTTTGTATATTTTATTTTTTCAAAATTTCGTTACATTATACAAAGATTCAATTTTATTCTCTGCATAAATTTTATTAATATTTCGCGAACGTACGTTGGGGAAGAGTAACGACGCAGAAAAGTTTGCGAAAGAGGGAGAGGGGGAAGAAAGGAAGAAGAAAAAGAAGAAGAAGAAAAAAAATGTAGAAAAGAAGGCAAATAAAAGGATTTGCCTAATTTACGTCAAAAAAATGTACTTTTTTTTTTCTTTTTTTTTTCTTTTTTTTCTTTTTTTTTTTTTTTTTGTTTTAATTTACGTTGGTAGAAGGTCCCTCGGTAGTAGACCGTTCTTAGAATTAATGGAGATGCAATTCATCAAATTTCCTTGATTTAGTACGATAATTCGCTCCGTAACTTGAAATATTTTAAAGAAAGAGAAAAGGAGGGTGTTGAAAGAGAGAGAGAGAGAGAGAGTGAGAGGGAGAGGGAGAACATAATTTACGTTTTTGCGTAATTGCTGTATTTTAAAAAAGAGCATAATTCCTTTTGAAATTTTCACATAACGTGGAAAAGAAATGTTCCTTGAAAATTTTAACAAAAATCTTATTATTTTCGACAATATTACTTTCGACATAGGAGACTCTTTTTTTTTTTCTTTTTCCTTTTTTTTTTTTTAAATTTTACGTACGTATATAACGTTCGTACATATTTCGAGACTTATCAACAGTTCTCCGAATGAAAATTATAATCATTAGTATGACTTATTTAAACATCTGTAATCTCAATTTGTTATCGTTTATGCGAAATAATTATATCATTAAAAAGAAAAAAAAATGTATGGTATCATTTGTATTAGTATAATTATACTGTGTAATAGAAATAAAGGTTTAATAATAATAATAAAAATAATAATAATAATAATAATAATAATAATAATAATAATAATAATAATAATAATAATAAATAATAGTATAACTTATACTGAAAAGATATTACAAATTTTTCAGATATACCATTTTTTCAAATACAAATATACACACACAAACACACACGCACAGAGGTATTTTTGCGCACATTAATTAATTTCCAAGTTAAATGAAGTTATAGAGGTTAATAAAATTAATAAATAATTCCAAACAATATTCGACAATTCATAAAATTTTAAGAACATTATAAAATATAACATATAATTGTCGATAATAATATCAGATAATGTCAGATCTCAATTATTAGATATCTATATAATATATGTATATACGTATAAATAATATTTTTAAATTTGAGATAACTAAAGATATTTTGGAAATAACGGGGGTTTCTTTTTTTTTTTTTTTTTTTTTAAAAGAAGAAAAAATTTGTTCGATTTTGAACGTCGAATATAACGACGTTATTTATTTCCATTTCGATGGAATTTTTAAGATTACTTCAAGGTCACTTTTAATTGTTCTTTTAAATAGCGGAAATCTACAATTTTTGCTACGATATCTTATTCTACGTCGAGAAAGAAAAAGAGAAAAAAAGGAAAGAAATGATTTTTGTTCGAATAAGTTTTATTTTCTATTCAATCTCTACTTCTTTTTTTTTTCTTTTTTTGTACTGTATTTAATTTAAAAACTAGATTTAGAAGGATAGAAATCTACGTGTATAATAAAAAAAAAGCTATTACTTTTTTTTTTTTTTTTTTTTTTTTTTTTTTTTTTTTTTTTTTTTTTTTTTTTTTTTTTTTTTTTTTTTTTTTTTTTTTTTTTTTTTTTTTTTTTAGAAACAATATAATTTTAATGAATATACATGGTGATGTTGATTCTTCGATAAATTTTCTCAAATACGAATTAATTAAAGATTTAATATTAAGATTAACACAGTGGAAATATTATAATCCATATGTGTGATATCCATCGAATATTCATTCGATTATATAATTTGTTTATTACAATAGAAATATTAGATTGAGATTAGAATAACCATTGCGATAGGATATATCTAGCACAATACATTATTATAGTTTGCACTTACGTCAGATTTAAATATTTTACATTATTATTATTATTATTTTTCCTTTTCTTTTTTTTTTTTCTTCTTTTTTTCTTTTTCTTTTTCTTGTGGTTAACTCAAAGGAAAAATGATCTATCAAGACGTACCAATTACGGGTAGAAGCTATGAAAGAGCTCGCCATAATTGCTTGTAGAAATATTTACAGGAATATTCTATTTACGTACCTATCAATCAATCAATCTTTGATCAAGCGTATTGAGAAGTGTATCGATAATCGAGGCCACCATTTTGTATATTTATTTAAAATAATATTTCTCTTAAAGGAGCATATCTGTTTTTTTTTCCTGTTTTTTTTTTCTCTTCTTTTTGGTTTATTTTTATTTTTATCCATTCTGAGATTTTTTTTTTTTTTTGTTCGAACAATATCGTAGAGAATAGAAGTTGGATTGAAAAAAAAAAAAGAGGAAAAAGAGAAATGTTTTAGACAAAAGTTGGTTCCATCTTTTGCGAAAAATAAGATGCGTGTTAGAAAAATTAAAGGTTTTCATTAAAGAAAAAGAAAGAAAGAAAGAAAGAAAAAAAAAAAAAAAGAAAAAGTTGATCTTGAAATTATCTTGAAAATGCTCAATGAGTCGAAAATAAATGTAAAAATTTAATTCTATCAGAATCAAACAACTTGTGAAAACAATCGTTTGAAAAGAATTTTTTTTTTTTTTCCCCCATCTCTACTTACTCCGATATCTAACATTTTGTATTAAATAATTGTCAAATAATATTAAATATCGTAAGAAAAATATTATCGAAAAGAGATCGAAAGAAAAAAATTTTTTCAGACAATTGTTTTCAAAAGTTATTTGATTCTGAAAGAAATTACGTTTCAGAAGAAATATTATTTTAATAAGTATAAAAAAAATAATGAAATAAGTGATTAAAATGATGGAATAAGAAATATTTAATGTCATTATATATTTGCCTTCGAAATATCGAATAACTTTTTTCTTTTTTTTTTTTTCTTTTTTTTTTTCTTCTTTTAACTTTTTCAATAATTGCATTGTATCGTTTCAGAGTTAATTAACGTGTCTCAATTTCTAAAAAAAACTTTATAAGTAAATACATGTATAGAATTTGTGTACACTCACACACACACGTGCGTGCGTGCGTGCGTGTGTGTGTGTGTGTGTGTGTGTGTGTGTGAAAGAAAAACTTTGACGAATTTCAATGGCATAGATTAATCGAAAGCAAAGTACATTACTCGAGTAAAATAGTTATCGATAGAAGCGAAATAACATTGGATCGCGTGATAGGTCTCTCTCTCTTTCTCTTTCTATATATATATATATATATATATATCTATGTACGTATGTATGTACCAGTAAATCGATGAGAAGGGACGTTCGTGCCGTTATCGAGAATCACAAGAGGTAGATGGTGGTTGTCGTTTGGATGCGGCTGCACGCTTCATGGTATATTGTCTTGGCGTTGATTTGTCGCTTTCACTTTGTTCTCATCCAAAACGAGGAACTATCTTATCTATTTTATCTGAACGCTCATCTATAGGACACACACATATACACACACACACACACATATATATATATATCCCTAAGCTGTTTCCATGTTAATCGTATTATATTTATTACGGAAAACTTTCTCTTAAATTTCTTATCGTTACGTTTAAGTGTAATTATTCAAATAATTTTTATATCATATGAATTATATATATATATATATATATATTTATTTGTTTGTTTATTTATATATGATTTAATATATATGTATACATATATTTTTTAATTTTTTTTTTCCAGAGAAGATAACAATAAGCCGAATCACGTTCTCCTATTTACAATCATCAATCCAGTATATCCCATCACTGTGGTAAGTAATAATAATAATTTTTTTTTTCGAATAAATTAAATATAATATTCATTCATAATGATTTTTAATCGAGCTCTCGACTATATATATATATATATATCGTCGCGAACTTATCGGAAGTTTTTAACCAATTTTTATCGCTTGAGATAGCAATATCAAAAAAGAAAAACAAAAGAAAAAAAAACAAGAGACCATTAAAGCGTGTGCACGGTGTTTTTTTTCTTTTTTTTTTTTTTTTTTTTTTTTTATAAAGTGAAATGCTTTGGATATGCACTTTGAAAGAGATAGTACCAGGTGGTGGCGTTTATAGTGGCAATTGTGATAGTGATCGTGGTCATGGTGGTCGTGGTCATGATGGTGGCGGTGATGGTGGGTCATGGTGTTATGTGGTAGTAATGCATATGACGATACTCGAGGAAAGGGCACGTGCATTAACGTGCTTGTATTGTACCGAAGGAAATAGATGATCAATAAATTTCAAATGTCTAACTTTGTAAAAATTTTATTTAGATATCCGTTATAGTCGGGAGTATATATATATATATATATATATATATATATATACAGTAAAATAATTTTATCCATATGAGTACACAGTAGATAGACACGGGGACATACATACACACACACACACACACACACACACACACATATACATATAATTTACTCGACATGTATTATTATTTGCTCGATTTATCTTCGATATTATCTTCATTTATCGTAAAATTTGTTTTATTTCGACAAACAACGATTGATGATTAATCGTCGTATAAGAGCTTTCGAAGTTTTCTTTTTCGTTTCTATCTGCATATCTATTTTTCTTTTTCTTTTTTTTTTCTGTTTTCTTTTCTCTATCTGTCTATCTCTATCTATCATCTATCTATTTATCTATCTATCTATCATCCAATATCTATCACAAAATAAATTCCATTAAATCATGAGTCAGTATATTTATTATTCTATATTTTGTTATTTTCGTTGGATTCCATTTAATATTATAAAAAGATAAAATACGACAATTTGTCGAGATTATTACTTACGTATATTGTTTTGTAATTTAATCTGTTAACCATAGACAATATTTTGCTTTGGGAAAGTGATCAATGTCAAAATAGACGAACTCTCTATGCTACTCAAAGTTTATTGCGAATTCGCCCATATAGTTTCAGTAATTTCAGTGCTACTTCGGGTCGGCTTTAGGAGAGGGGAGGCCGACTTTTAGAGTCTGACAAATGTGTCCGCGCCCGTGCAAATAATGACTCCTCTAAATCCCGTCCGTCCAAACCGACTATCGTTTTACACCATTCCCAAATGATCATCATTATGTTAACTACGGAATTATTATCATACAATTTAAAAGGACCAACACAAAATGATCACCGCATTTTCATCCATTATTATTTGTCCATTGAGTCGGAAAGGATTGACATTTAAATTCCGAACAATTTTCGGAGGAACGTAACACGAATTCCAATCGATTAATTTGACGTTTTAACAGGTAAAATCACTTCGTGAATTTGAATTAGATAACGTCAGATAATCTTCATAAGTTCGTTGCAATAGAGCTCTTTTTTTCTCTTTTTTTCTCTCTTTTTTTTTTTTTTTTTTTTTTTTTTTTTTTATAGATATTTACAAAATTAAATCGTGTACGTCTTTCTCTATTTCGATCGATAATTGCTATTATCTATTTTTTTTTATTTTTTATTTCTTCTTTAACTTTTATAATTATTCACGTTTCGTAACAATTTTTTTATATTTTTTTATTTTTTTATTAATGTGTTTATCTTAGTTTTTTTTTTTTACCGAGGATATATAATATTAATGAGATTTTAGAGCTGTACTATTTAAAGCGATAGAAATTGTAAAATAATCCGTGAAATTTTCCTATTATGCCATCGATTCACATAAATGATCGATGCTGTGTTAAATAATAGAATTAACAAAAGAAAAAAAAAAAAAAAAAAGAAAAGAAAAGAAAAGAAAAAAAATTTAGAGTAAGATCTTTAATATTATTCTATTTTCTCGAAAATTTTGACATTTAATATAGATATGGGAGACGGTGAGAATGATAATGAAAGTTAAAAAAAGAAATGGAGAGATAGATGGAGAGAGGGAGAAAGATAAAGAACATTAGAACGCATTAGATGTGCTATTAATAATATCGATCTATAGTAGTAGCCAAAGAAGTGAGAAACATGATTACTTTATAACTTCAATAATTCTTTTTATTTCGTAATAATTTTTATTTATTATTAATGTATTTTTATCTTTCTTTTTAATAAGATATAATAGGTGATGAGATTATAAAGTTATACGATTTAGATAGAACAACTAATTATGAAGTTTTTCTTTTATGTGTCATTGATAAATCTAAATTTACGATCGGTGCGACATGTTAAATAATAGAATTAAAAGAAGAAAAGGTAAAAAAGAAGAAAAAGATCCATAAAGTTCTTGTATATCTCGAAAATCTTGACATTTAACATGGATATAAGTGATGGTAAGAATGAGAATGAAAGTAAAAAAAGAAATGGAGATAAATAGGAAGAGCTAGAGAGAGAGAGAGAGAGAGAGAGGCGAGGGAAGGGAGATAAGAAAAGAGCATTAGAACGCATTACTGTGCTATTAATAAAGTCGATTTATAGTAACCAAGAGAGAGAAAGAGAGAGAGAGAGAGAGAGAGAGTGTGTGTGTGTGTGAGAAAGACAACAACATTATTATTTCATAATTGTGATGATTATTTCTATTTTGTAATTTTTTTTGTATTTTTTTCTTTTTTTTTTTTTTCTTTTTTTTCTATTATTTATTTATTTATTTTCTTTTTCTTTATTAATACATTTATCTTTATTTTTAATAAAAATACGATATTAGAAAGAGATACTAGATTATATCACTGGATACTAGAATTATATCATTTGAAGTACATCGAACTATGAACTTTTTTCTTTTCATATCGCTGACCCAAATAAACGATTGGTGGGACATTAAATAATAGAATTTAGAAAAAAAAAAAAGGATAAGAAAAATAAATGATCTTTAAAAATTTTTCTATTTCTGTACAATCTTGACATTTAACATGGACAAGGGATGATAAGAATGGGAATGAAAGTTAAAAATGAAATGGAGATAAAGAGAGAAAGAGAAAGAGTGTGTGTAAGAGAGAGAGAGAGAGAGAGAGAGAGAGAGAGAGAGAGAGAGAGAGAGAGAGAGAGAGAGAGAGAAGAAGGAAAGAGCATTAGAACGCGTTAGTGCTCTTCTATTAATAATGTCGATTTATAGCAACTAAGTGAGGGAGTAGGATAGATTCCCTATCGACTCACGTTTTGATAAATAAAAGTTAGCTGGAAAGCATAAAGCCAAGTAAAGTTTGTTTTTTCGATACGGATCGAGTTAACTAAACTGACGTTTTTTAATCTGCACCCCCTCCCCCCGATTCCGCCCCCTCCCATTGCGTCATTAAAACGCAAATTAGTTTTACTTCGTCAATTTAATCTTTAAAAGTGTTTTTTGTTTTTTCTTTTTTTTTTTCTCTCTTTTTTCTTTTTTGATCAAAGGTAAATATTTTATATAAATAGATCTAGGACGGCTTCATTCGTGTTTTATATATTTGCGTATGATCGATGAGAGAGTTTTGTTTTATCATTGTTATAATTATTGCAAATTTGTTAACCAAAGTTACGTTGTTATTGTCTTTGTTATTTTTAATAATAGAATAAATATCTTCAATGAATGGGTTTTAAGTTTACTAACTTGCATTTTTTTTTTATCCATTTGAGTTCGGACAAAGTGACTGAATTTCTTTTTTCTTTTTTTTTATTTTTTTTTCTTTTTTTCTTTTATTATTTTTCTTCCTTTCTTTTTAATCATTTTAAATTTGATAATTCTTCGGATTCTTTAGAAAAAGTTATTCGATTTTTTCAAAAGTATTATGAGTACTTATGTGTTATATAATATGTATTATTAGAAGATACAGGCCATTTTGAAACTGGAAGTCTCTGATAAGAACAGAAACGGGAAATGAAAATTTATGAGTATATGCATGTAATATATACACATACATATATACGTACATATACACGCATGCGCGTATATATATATATATATATATGTACATTGGTACATCTATGCATATATGCATTCATACATACATACATATATATACATACATATATAAATACATACATACATAAATAAATATATATAAAAATTTTAATAAAAAAATTTAAAGATACATGAAAATATTTCGTTATAAAAAATTTAAAGATACATGAAAATATTTCGTTAACTTGACAAATTCGTATGCTAATCCCTACGTTATAAATCCATTACGATTTGATCCGATAATAAAAACTTTCTAAAGAAAAATTCAACATTATTTAACTGACATTATTATTATTATTATACGCGTATTATCATAAATTTGATTTTATAAAATTGTATTAACTTTTCGCACGGTCGTTACTTTCTAATGAGGAAAAAAATATCAGGAAGAATCGAAGTTATTCGCGAATTGTTCACATGCAAAACTGAACTTTCTTATCAATTATTTCAAATCAATTAATTTTAACTATGTTACTCACATGTTGTACAAATAAATATTAAAATTTTTTAATAAGCAATTTAATGATTCGTTTAATGATTTTATTAATGATTTTATTTCTTTACGAGATAAAGAAATTCTTTTTTCGATTCGTACTTCAATATCAATGATTTGATTCGATCGAGAACAATGCCTTTTTCTTTTTCTCTCTCTCTCTCTCTCTCTCTCTCTCTCTCTCTCTCTCCTCTCTCTTTTTTTCTTTTTTTCTACTGTTCCCTTTCTTTTCTCTTGAGCCTGAGATCAAGGATTTTTATCTCGCTAGTAAAAATAGCTGACCTCTGATGAGCGATAAACCCGAAAGCGTTGATACCTCAGGTGAAGGAATCGTGAAAGAGGAATATATACGAATAGCCGAAGGAGATCTATTTCTTGAAATAAAAGTGCGAAGAATGGTGTACGT